ATATACTTCATATTTTGAAACTCCAAAATCTGTGATCACATAGTTTGTTGCGTTCTGATGATCTCTTTCTTTTTTTAAGTTTTTCTATAAGCAGGTGTCTTGTACATAATTAAACCACAAAGGAACTGAGGAAATGCAGATGTTTGTACCTTCTGCGCCTGCAACAACAACATACAGGAAGGCCAGCACTTTGAGTGATGACTTTTGGTAAAGTTGCACGACAGAGTCGTTCAGTGGATCCTTGTTCTTGTCCAACCAGCCATTAATGTTGTAGTCCACAGTGCCGGCGTAGTGCACCAGAGAGAAGTGGGCCTCTGCCTTACCTTTGGCAGGCTTGGGCTTCTGGAAAGCTGCACATTTTCCCAGATGCTGGTCATGCAGCTTGTTTTTGAAGCTTGTGTCTGTAGCCTTTGGGAACATGCACTCCTCTTCAAGGATGGAGAAGATGCCCATTGGCTGTTGAAGAAATATTCAAACTCAAGTACAGGCACAGTGAGAATAGTTATTTTAATTTACTGAATATCCTCTAACCTTCTCAATGAGCTCAATGCAGGCAGCCAAGTCCATACCAAAGTCAATGAACTCCCAATCAATGCCTTCTTTCTTGTACTCCTCTTGCTCCAGAACAAACATGGTGTGGTTGAAGAACTGTTGCAGTTTCTCATTTGTGAAGTTAATGCAAAGCTGCTCCAAGCTGTTGAACTGATAATTCAACAGAAGCGATTATTGCAACTGACTGTTATCTTTTATGTCTTGATTCTTTCAGAGACATTAATGACTGATACTCACATCAAAGATCTCAAATCCAGCGATGTCCAGCACACCGATGTAGAACTCTCTAGGATTCGTCGTGTTCAACATCTCATTGATACGGATGACCATCCACAAGAACATTTTCTCATAGACAGACTTGCAGAGTGCAGAGTCTGCATTGTTCACCTGAGAAATTCAAAGGTCATTGTAGATCATATTATTACCCTTACTTCTCACGATGACTATGTTTGAGACATTTCTCACTGTATCTAGAAGTTAAATGTGTTAATGAAGTCATCACCTGTGGTACTGTCTGGCCTTTGGTCACCATCTCATTCCCGACCTTCACTCTGGGGTAACACAGAGCTTTCAGCATGTCAGCGGAGTTGATGCCCATGAGGTAGGAGATTTTATCAGCCGCTAAGGAAGCAGAGTTTTATGCTTTATTATTGCTAATTAAGTGAATGTTTATATGTTAATTTGTGCTAAAATGTTATCTTACCCTCATTGCCGTCAGGTTCGGCCTGCTCCTCTCTCTGCTTCTGTTTGAACTTCATGGCCCCATGATGCATCACAGCACCTGTCAGCTTGTAGATGCTGATTTTCTCATCAGCACTGAAGCCCAGAATGTCAATGGCAGTCTGTTTTTACACAGACCAAATAAATCAAATTGTTTATTGGAGTCAAAAAAGACGGGTCTTTTATACTGTGTCATGCAGTATTCAGTTCAAGCTGGTGTTTTTCTCATGTTTTTTTGCTCTGAAATGTTGCATAAAATCTAAAAATACTACTACTACTACTAATATTGCAGTTGTCCACATACATCTGTGGCAATGAACTCCTCCACATCATCGATACTCTTGACAGTGATTTCACCCTGGCTGATCATTGGGTAGTCATAAGGGTTGGCCATGTCCTCAATTCTGTCAAACAATGGGAGGATTCATTGGGAATATTTCATCTTATTTTACTGTAACACTCTGTAATTAACATGTTTTTGACTTTTTTTGTACACACATTTATACACTATTTAAGTGAAGAACTTTGACCTCTGAAAACTCAAGCACAGGAACACATTTAATAGTGTTTTTTTATCTGTTGTACTTTCCCACTGTGAGTTTTGACAATAGCTTTGCCACCCTCTTTACTAAAAACAGACGGAACATTTTTTTGAATTTCATTTTTATTTAAACAGGACACTGTGTTTTGTTTTTTTCACAACTTAAACCATGGAGTGTAAAACATATTCAGCAATAAAAAGCAGGAAAGAGAAGGTTAAAAAGGACCAATGATCAATAACGATACAACAAATTTCATTTGCCCTCATATTTTGTTGTCTTCAACAGAAAATTGTTGGTAGTTTATTTCGTTGTTCCCAAAATTTCTCTTTCTGCATAATAATAGGTAATAGAAAATCATTAAAATTATAAGTAATATAAATATTATGTATACATTGGCATGCAAATCAGCACTGTACATGATACAAGTACATGTCCTGGATGATGTGATTCTGAATGCGAGTTTATGTGGTACTGAAACAAAATGTTGAAACTAAAACTTTAAAAATAAATGAATAAATAAAATGACAAAGAAACATCACTGGTGTTTTCATGTGTGTGAATTATTTTCAGCACTGCTGTTGTAATTCTGCTCATTGATGGTCTGGATAGTTGGACGAGGCCAAAGCATTTTCAAATGAAGTTCTAGGGTGAGATTTACAGATATGAGAAATAAGAAATGTTTTTCTTAAGGACTATAGAGAGCAAGATCTGAACTTAAAACTCCTAAACATAATAACCCTTGCTGTGTATGGACCTGATGGTCTAAATGTATTTAAGTTTGATTTAAGCCACAGAAAAGAACATGTATAATACAGGACTTTAAAATGTTATGAAATAGCAACAGTTGATAACCTGATCTGTCTTCAGTTCCTAATTCAGAATGATGGAATAACTCAATGGAATGCGCTCAATGCACGTCACAATTCTGGATTGGCTTATACCGGCTGACAAACTTCCTGTTACAATGACCGCGAAATTCTAGTTCACTTGACCAACAGACAGACCGACAACAGGCAAACATGGCTCTCTTTTACACTCGCTGTCTTCTAGACCTACCTCGTCTGACTATTAATGATGTGGACTGACTTGTCAAGAAGTCATGCCCCACTCCCTCCAGCAAACGGGAAAAGGGATTCAAGATGTATATCGCCAGCTACATCGATAATTACGAGGGTAAGTCGTTACGTTGAAATGTTATTGTAGCAGCTAACGTTAGCGTTAATGTTAACTGAACGATTACGAACGATGGCTAACGTTAAAGTTAGCTGTTTTGTTCGACTATGACTGACAGACTTGCCAGCTAACTTTCGATTGTGAGTTTGTGTGAGTTTTCTTTTATAGAGATACTGTCAAGATACTGTGTAAAAATGTAACGTTACAGTCTCAAATTGTGTGTTCGTCGTCCTTCCTCACAGTGTCAATGAAAGACAAGTTGACAGGAGAGGTCAGCGTGAGGGCAGTCTGTCATAGATCCATGAAGAAAAGTGAAAAGCCACACGACTTGAGAGTAGGGTTATTGTTAGGGCAATGGTTAGGCAAGCTGATAAATTGCCTGTCAGCTTAATAAAAGTAAAATTATCCAAGCAAATTAGGCCTGTATCATATTGTTAAAAATGTATACATTTTCATATTTTGTCTGTGAGCCTCAGAATACAGCATTATTTTTCTTGTTAATGCTTTATCTGTCAAGCAATATCTCATCTAAGCTTCTATTTCTCCCTAGATGGTGTTAAAGCACTCAAAACCTGTTGTTTTGGTGAGCAGCCATTGTTCCTGTGTGGCGGGCTGTGCCTTATGCAATCATTTGGTTGCACTTCTTTATCAGACTGCCCATTATTCGCAGCTAAACATTCCTGTTGTTCCCCCGGTGCACAGCTGCACAGACACCGAGCAGATCTGGCATAAACCAAGGACACTGGTAAGTCATGTAACATGTGAACTGTACTATTACTGTGCATATTGTAGCTATTGTGATGCCATGTTGAATGTGTCTCTGATGTTAGGGTGTTAGGCCAGGCCCAGTTGGAGAAATGGAGTTTCGAAAACCCAGAAATTCAACAACAGACTGTGTAAGGTGAGATTATCTTTACTTCGTATCTCGGTGTGGTTGTATGTATGTTGTGGCAGAAGTTTGGTGTAGTGATTTTTACTTTAATACTATTTTTTTT